CTTGTGTTGCGAATGTCATTCACACACATACAAGTGTGCGACATTCGCACACTTAGGTGTCCGGTGCAAAAATCATTTACACAAAAACGCACAAAAAACAGTAATACAAAACCAAACTTTACCTGCCAGATATCGGACAGTCAATCGTCGAATTTTGAAGATATCCTTTTTATTACTATAACGGATAATAATACACGCATTTTCCTGGTAATTTTCCTAAATGGACGGATTTTTTCGCAGCCTCGGCAGTTTGTGTCTATTACCCCCCTTAAAGCGGAGGCGGCGATGACATTTGATTGCATTGTCTTTACATTACCGAGCACGCGCCGCCTCCCTCCAGAGTGACGGCGTGCTCCCCCCTCCACCCGTCCCCACCTCCTCCCGCACACCAGATGCCTCCTCTGCACAATTTGCATCCTCTTTGCATCCCCGCTTCATTCCACAAACATTCAGTTCACCGCTCCTTGGCTGAGGCGAGCCGACGCGACGCCGCACCCCTCTGCTTCCCCTCCTGTCCTCCCCATTCTAGCGCCAAACTGTCCATCTCTCTCCTTCCTTCCTTGGTGCCCCCACCCCCTCCTCTGCTCCGCTCACCCAGATCCTACCCCCTCTCCCCCTCCCCACCCCCCTATCCCGCGCCGTCCCTTCGACTTGAGCAATCCAGTTGAAAGTTTTCCCCAGATTCTTCTGGCTTGGTCCGGGTTTGTTAAATGGAATGTCCGCGCGGCGTGGCGGGGTAGGGGGGCGGCGGCACTGTGGCTGGGCTCGGCCTGGTGGATCCCGGCGCGGATGCCTTGCTGCTCTAGACACGGGTCGTGTTTCCCACGAGGGAAACTCACAAACCAGAAAAGTTGTTTGGGTGCGCCCGCCAGTGTGCGCCCCCTCCCCCTCCCTCACCCCCGCCTGTCCAGCCGACAGCCTGTTGTGCCGCGGCAGCAGGGGCGCGTCTCAGGCCGCGAGTCTCCGGCAACAGGAAATTAGGACTGCCATCGTCTTGGACGAGTTTCGTCTTTTTCTCGCGACGTCCTTAGAGCGACATCTTTCAAGCAGTACATTTTATTTGTTTCACTCAACTGTTGGATGGTAAGCGTAAAGGGCGTTCAGCGGCATTTCGCTACCATGCACCATAGTCAACTCAGACCTTTTATTTTCTAAATCCGGAGTTGCCACTTTGCCCACCCAGAATTGCCGGAACCATTTCTGTCTGCACTCTAATCGTTTATAAGGACAATTATTTGTTACTAGCACCGGACTTTTGTGTGCATAACTGAGTTCAGATACAGTATTGTGCCAGTAACGATAATCCCTTTAGTTAGTTCATCTGTCTATATGTCTGTGTGTCTGTCTGTCTGTCTGTCTGTCTGTCTGTCTGTCTGTCTGTGTGTATGTCTGTCTGTGTGTCTGTCTGTCTGTCGCTCTCTGTCTCCTCTGTTCCCGCTCTCTGCTGTATCGATTCCCTTACGTAACGTTAGTCGCCCGCCGCGTGCGGTGCGCGGGTGTGCGAGTGAGACGGGGCACATATCCGCTGGTGGGGTGAACGGCGGGGTGACCCTTCCCCCTCCCCCCTTCCCATCACCATCTTTCTCGTCTGTGATTCTAGCCAGGCGCCTAGCCATGCACTTCATCCTAAACGAGAATCAGTTATCTATTGGGTTTCTCGAACTTTGACGGCTCTGAAAAGAGACTTATCAGTATCAGATGGGACACCAACTTACACTATGTGTGATTTTGCTGTTGAACACTTACAAGTCGACTTTCTTGAGTTTAATTGGGCAATGCGAAACACTAATAAAACGAAGTGTTTAATTTTGCCTGTAAATTATGGTGTTGAAGCTCAAGTGTGCATTTTCTGGACACATTGTGGTGTCTAACAAGGTTATACGTCAATTTGTGTTTAAACTGTTGACACTTCCGAAAACTATAGCAGCTGCACACCATATCGTTCCTATTGAATAGCAAAGAACTGTGTGTGCCCAAGTGTGCAGAATTTAAACGTTTCCAAAACATCTAAAATTTGCACACAACTCAAGTGAGAAACTAAGTTAAACATCGTGTTATGTGCAAAAAATCATAACTCACACGATGGTGTGCATATTTTGGTTTTGCGCACCCGTTTTACTAGTGAGAGTGCGCAAACAAACGTAGGCCTATTGACCACTTGTAAGTGTCAACTTGAAGTTGATCACGTATTGCTGCTTACGTAGGTTATTTATTAAAAATGATAGTAAGTCCATCGTAATCGACCGTAACACGGTAAAAATGACTGTACTTTTATGAGGAAAAGGGCATACACTGTTAAAAAAATTGCTGTAAATTTACAGCTGAAATGTGATTAATTTTGTTAGCAGCATATACTGTATTTTTATAGGCCTTACTGTGAAAAAGCAGCGTTAATGAAAATGTCGGAAACAAAGTTTCCGACCAAAAGCAGTTACTTTGTTTTGCTCCTGTAAAAAAAATGTAATAATACGAGTGTCCTGTTTTGGGACGAAATGTGCTGCTAACAAAATTAACTTCTCTTTTCTTGTAAATGTACAGCAAAGTAATACTTACGTAGTAGTTTTTGTTGTGGGCCACTATGGGCCGAATATCACAAGTTCCGAGAGTGTTCAAATGAAAACAACATTTCTGTTACATTACAGGAGTGTCAGTCAGGCAGTAAGTCGTTAGGTGACAGTTATTTTTAACAGTGTATTTGAGAAACTCTCAGATTTTGACGTATTCTCAAAAATTGGCGCAATCCACATTTTTTGAGGAGATTTCCTCAAAATCTGAATTATTTTCAGAAAATGGCGATTCCTGGCTCAAAGTTTTTCCCCTTTCTTTAAAAAAATCGAACATTGTTTATACCGTGAGATTTCACTTACCTGCTCGCGGCATTGTAGTTAGGAACCTCATTCACATTGGGTGTGGAGCGTAAAATTACTACTCAAATAGATTGATAAATACCAGCTTGCTTTGAAGATAGCCAGAGTTTTGGGGTCACTGATCTCGCTTTCCTATGAGAGCAGGATATCTTACTCTAGCATTTATTGTGTGCACTTTTTGCTGACAGTGTGCCGATGCGGTCCATTCTATTTCGACACGCGGTCCTGAACACACAACACAACATTGCGGTTCGGTTCACGCCGCCCCCACAAGTTGTCTGCTGCCCTCCCCCGCATTTGGAGGCTCCACCACGCAACGAACTCGGTGGAATAACAGAGCCAGACGCAGGGGGGGAGGGGTGAGCAGGGGCGCTAGAAATAGTGAGCTTGTCTGCAACGGCATCCTTCACTGCTGCTGTAAAAGCGCCCGCGTCGTTGTTTCGAAAGAAGGGCCAAAGGGGAAGGGCGAGGCCGCGGGCTGAAGAGGGGCGAGGCGAGGGGGTAGGGACGAGGACTCCCCCCCTCTTCGGCGATCGTACCTCGGTAGGTCTGCGACGGTACGTAGGTCGTGGGCCCGCCGCTCAGCAGGACGGCGAATCGGTTGTTGGAGGGGAGGGTGTTGTCGGTGGGCGCGCCGCAGCGAGGTGTCGCCCCGCACCGCGGCACCACCAGCCGCAGCAGCAGCAGCGACACTAGCAGCGGCGCCCGCTCCCACAGCGCCGCCGGTCCGGGCACCCGCATTCTGGAAAACAAAAACAAAAACAAATTACATTTGACGAGAGACAATGTTTGCTGCTAACAGCGCACTGTTCTAACTTTTCGTTTTTAAAAATTTATTTCATTCCGATATTTTGCGATGTTTACAACAAAAGAAGGGCTAAGTTTATGAAATTTTGCTCAAATCTTTACAATAAAGTCTACTGTGCATTCGTTTTTCAATGCAAGAAGTTTGTTTGTGTCGTCTTTGCGAGAAGACGCGGCGGTGCTCCGCCCGACGGCTCGGCTGCTGGAGCGGGAGCGCCTTCGAGGTAGGCCGCGCGGGAACAGCCCTGCGTCGCGGCCGGGCGGCTGCCCACCTCCCGGGCGCCCCACACCTGTCGGGCCCCGCCAGCCGCTCCAGCGGCGGTGCAGCGAGCTGCTATATGAAGCCGCGCGCCATCATTGCGGTTAGCCAGTAAACTGAACAGTTTTCACGCTCCTGGTGCTCCGTTCTCCGTCCCCACCCACGCTCTCACTCTCACCTTATTCCTCGTAATGATCACTTAACGCTAATGCACTGCCGCTACTCTGGTTTCAAGCTCTCGCGGACTTGCTCGGTTCCCGCTTACGCTCACGCTCTCACCTTCCTCGTAACAAACACTGAGCCCCAGCACTGAGCGCTGCGCGCTCCGCCTCTCTCCCGCTCTCTCCCGCTCTGCTGCTGCGGCCCCCTGCTGGCCCCTCCTCGGCGCGTGGGGACCCATACCAGGGGGCCCATATACCCGGGACCCACCCGCGCGACCCACCCGGGCCCGCCGCCGTCCAATTTGCCCTCCTCAAACAAGTAGTCGATGGAGGGAGGCCCGCGGGAGGGAGGCAGAGGGCCCGGCGATAATAACCGCACCAGTCGCAGCCGGGACGCGTGAACAGCGCGCGCGCGCTGCTTCTGGTGGAGGGGCGCCGAATTTGATGCGTGCCGTACGCTCGTGTGTCACTCAAATGTATGCTAAAAAAGAAGAGCAAAGCAGGGGGAGGTGGGAGAAGGGTGAAGGGTGAAGGGCGGCAAGAAACGTGAAGTAGGCACGTTCAGTACTTTCGCCTCCCCTCTGCCTAGTAGACTAAACTAGCACGGGGTGGGACCACGCCGAGCAGGAACACCCCTCAAGGGAAAGCAAGAAAACGCCTGAATCTTAAATCTTGTTATCTCAAATCATTCCCGATATAGATTCTTCCTTGGGCTTCCTCTGTGGTTTGTTCCTAGAATCTACGAACTTCCTTGCAGACCCATCAATAACATCTGCACAGTTGCAAATCAAAATGCCAAAGTCCTTCGCAATTGCAAAGCATTTGCTTTTGTGACTACAAATTGCAACGGAGTTGCAAAGGATTTGGCATTTTGCATTGCGAGGTCGTTTCAACTGTGTGCTCGACTGCCCCACCCCTACAATTTCACGAACGAACAGAGCAGCAAACATTTCGTCTGTGTCCGCCTTCCTCGAATAACAAAGGTATGAGCTGCTGCTAGCCCACCAGTGGTCCAATAAAATGAACGGAACTGCGCATTTTCTGTGGTGTAATCGACATGTTGCTCTGACGGTTGCACGCGGGTGTCGGCTCTAACAAGCGGGCTAGACAGACAGCTGGCCGTGCAGAGCTGCTGCGCTGCGGGAAGGCGGGCAACTGCGAACCAGTCATGTACTCTGAAAAATGCAACAGAGCGCACTGTACCGGGTGTGACAGAGAAGACGTCGGTGTATGCGGGGCGGGGCGGGTTCGCCTACTTTCTCCGGTCGAAGGCCGAGTAAAGCATAATTGAGAAGTAAATCAAGAAATAAATAAAGCACAAAAATGTAACTTTTCGAAACAGCTTTTAGAATTTCTCGGGGAATTTCTACATGCTCCTTAGGTTCAGTTTCATCACACCCGTCAGCGCGATACACCCAGAAAACCATCTTTTTAACAACAAAATTTTGACGCTGCTCAAACCAATGACATTTTAGTTGTAAAAACTAAAAAACAAATCGTTTGCTGAACGATTTGTTTTTAATTTGACGAAAACGTCTTTTCTGATTTGACAAAATTTCGTTGGTTTCAATAAAAATTTTCGTCATCCTAACGAAAAACGTTTGTTTGATTTCGTTAAGGTAAATAAAAATTCTTTACGCCAAAGAACTGCTTTTCTGGGTGATCCGGCGCACGGACCGGGCGAGCGGAAGGTGATTTAATCTGTCTCTGCCCCGTTCCGGGGGTCCACAATATAAATAATACAGCCTCTAAATGGCCAAGAGTTTGTGAAGGACAGCAATAAAATTAACCGCTGGTGCACAGCGGGATTCTGACAGTGGCGGAGAGAAATTAGGCAAATACAGGGCGCGGGCCCGGGGCTGGAGCGAGAGTGGCCGCCAAGCCGGGCGGACTGTCGACTGGCGGCATGCATCGTGCGGACCAAAAGTGGTTGTTTGTTCTCCCGCGCTGTGTGGCTGCTCCGAGCGAGAAAACTGAAACATTGCCTTTACAACGCTCGAAGAGCGCAATACTAATGTTATACAGGTGTAAAGTGTAACATGTTTTGATGTACTACGACATTAATTTGGCCACTCGCCCTGGTTTGTACTGGTACACAATGCCGCACCGTTTTCGTTCTGATGTAGAACACCCTGCGAGAGTGTACCTACACACATTCCCTACAAGAAAGCCGCCGCCGCCCCCTCCGCAGTAAATATAATACCGCGCCTTACACAGTCTCCATTTCCACGCTCCACCTGCTGCACAGGGCGGGGCGCACTGGTGGCGCCACTGGTGGCCCTTCCCCGCCCACTTGCGGTGCGGCTGGCGCCTGCAAACGGCCGCCTTAAGGCAACACGAGGGGGGAGGCGGGGTGGAGATGAAATCGAGGTGAGCTGAGGACCTGCTGCTGCCATAAATCAGGATCTCCGAATCGCAAATGCGTGTCGCAAGGGGGCTTCGTTTCTTCGTTTCTCCTCCGAATTCAATCACATCCCCCTCCACATCCAGCAGCGCCGACTTCCACGCTCCACACTCTACCTGACCGGAAAGTCAGTGCGTCCTCGTCCCAAAAGATTTTTGCATAATTATTTTCTGCCCAATTAAGGCTTTTATTATGGGCTCTATGAAAAGGTTTCGCTAAACAAGATCGTTTTGTCAGAGAAGTGTGCATGTGCAGAACATCGGAATTTGTTTTTAAGCAGGGTTCACAGATTTGCTGAGTGGTTAGGTTTTAAAATGCTATGAGCTGCTATCTAAAGGAAATTCTTGAGGTACGACGACAACCTCAAGACAGTTCTTTTATCTAAAAATTATAAGTTCCAGGTGCGATGTAAGGGGTCAGTCGAGAGGGGGCTGGTGTAGAGCAAGTTGTTTGTACGGGAGTTGGTCACCCCCTCTCCCATCCCTTAACGCGCCCGACGTTTTCTTTCACTCTCGACGGGGGGATGCATTATGCATTTAATAAGAAACATATTTTGGTGAGTCATCTGGGCCTTCAGAGGCAATACAACGAGGCAGCCGCTAGCTAGACGGTCGGGGCAGGGCCCGCCGCCCCGCGGCCCCGCAGACCAGGCGCCCCGCCCCGCCCGAGCCATGGCCTGCAGGCCCCATCTCGGCCATGGTCACATGTCACGGTCACGCTGCGCTGCGCCCTCTAAGTGAGCACCGCAACTTTTCGTGGTGCACCCAGAAAATAAGCTTCTCGATTTGCCAGTGCTTTAGAAGTTTCAAGAACATTGTGCTTAAGAGAAGTGTTAGACATGCGTAGACTTTTAAATTCTCGCGCTCACGAGGAGGAACTAGCGTCAGAACCAGCGCCTGCTGGAAAGCACCCGCGCTGCATTCGCGACAGCGCGGGGTGCTACCCGATCCAGCCCGGGACGGCTCGATCGCCCGCACGACACGTCAGACGCGCATAGGCTTCCGGCTCGGACACATCTCCAGCAAATAGTGAGTACTTGGTGGTCGGCCCTAAGAACTGTAATTCTTTGTACTTCCTTTCTTACACCCTTCAACCATCGTAACTACACGCCCCGGGTGTACACGCTACACCTACACTGTCCCCGGTGCGATACTATACTAGAAGTGTCTTTATTCGTCTTACCAAGTCCAATGTCTGGAATTAGGTACAGTGCTAAACACGATGTTTATGACAAACTTGTAAGCGCAAGGGCCCGTATGGAATACTTTACCTTAAAACCTTATTTTCTAGCTTAGTTTCGTCTTTTTGAGAAGTCAAAGATAAGACGAGAAAAAGACTCGATGGACATCGGTTTTTACTTTCTTTCGTCTTCAGATCGTCTTAAAAACGCGTGTATTTAAGACAAAATGAAGACGAAAGAAGACAAAGAAGACAGAGAAAAGAGTGATGCCGAGTCAGTCTGAGGTCTCTTTCCCCCT